AAATCATCCAGCACATGTATCCAACAGCAATGTTCGCAGACTCACGAACATCAGGGCCTTCCGCCTCCTACCGTTAAAGCATTGCTCGCGTAGCGTTGCGCATCTTCAACGGCAAGCATGATGTGGGTTGTACGTCGATTTCCAATCATCATGATGTTTCTGCCGAGTGGGAGGGACGAAACTATTGGTCCGCGCTCTGGTGGTCTGGTGTGGTAATGCGTACTGGAGAGAGCACCCGCCGCATCGTATCCCCCAGCCGTTGCGGGTTTCCTACCGTTTCTTCTGTGGTCCCCCGCTCACCTGTCGATACGACAGCAGTGCGCATCTATTTATGTAACACGTAACAACAACATGCAAGTTCGCCCGGGCGAGGTTTGTTCTGCCGAGCAAGAAGGACTAAATTTCCGGTCCGCGTTGTGATAGTCTCCTTCATTCGGGTGTGACAGTTTTTTTGTTTTTTTCTCCCATCATTGGACTCTGTCGTCTGCCGTCTGGCCCCTATCCTCCACTTCTACTAGCTAGAGGCTCAGCGACCATGGGTAGGGTAACCCGGGAACGATTTATTCCCAGTTTCAATCAAAACTGGGTCCTGTNCAGACACTGTGAAACAATCGGACACAAACGATGTTCGTACTCATCGACGCCAGCGCTGTTGACTACGAAACTAACGTACATCGCTGCCGGGTCATACAGAGCACCTGTAAACGAAGTACGCTGTACGACACTCACCCAGGCGAAGCATGAGGGTGTTTCGTGCGTACTCAACGCCGATGAGGAANCGTTTCGTTCCAAAATCAAGTCGAAGGCGACGAACATGCCACTTTGATAAGACACGGTGAAAAAATCGGACAAAAACGATGTTCGTACTCATCGACGCCAGCACTGCTGTTGACTACGAAACTAACGTACATCGCTGCCGGGTCATACAGAGCACCTGTAAACGAAGTACGCTGTACGACACTCACCCAGGCGAAGCATGAGGGTGTTTCGTGCGTACTCAACGCCGATGAGGAAGTCTGCAATCCGTGACCATCATGCATCACAGTCATCAGGATGCTACGTGCGAGGACGTGCGGCGGCGAGTTTGTAGAAAAACACGTTCCTACGTGCACGAAACGCAACATTGGTGGGCAGTGGAACCGAGTGGAACCAAAACAAAAAAAAAATGTATCAAAGGTCTCACAGGAAGGTGTATGTGTACATAGTCCACAACATGTAAACATACAGCAGCAGTAGGACACACGCATGGTGAGCAGCGGAATCAGCGTCGTCATGAATCCTAGACGACCACCCAGAGGACGACATCGTCGTGGAACATCGGCTTACATCAGGAGCACTCGTCAAGAGAGGACTCGGGAAAATAACCGGGTTCGGGAAATGCAGAGGAGGTACGGTATCTTAGACGATTTACCAGACGACGTCCTCATTGTCGTGTAATACTGAGTACTTACTGAGTACTACCACATGTAATCTGATGAGAAGCTGCACGAACAGGATCGCGTCGCAGGCGAGGTCGCTGCTGTTCTTTCCGCTCTAGTCTACATTGTACACCACGGAGGTTCCATCATGCATGACCACCACTTAACTTTTACTTTTTTTATTATACTTTTTTTTTCTGTCCTATGCGCCAGCTGTTGATGTTTAGCAGATTGTATAAAATTATCCACTGGTGTGCAGTAGCATACTTTACAGAAGATTCGTAGAAAATCATCAGCAAATATTGCAACAATGAAGAATGAACGTTTATTGTTCAGGTACGAACAACGACGAAGTGTGGACGATATGGTTATCGATGACGATTACGTCCACGGTGGTTCTAGCAGTGATGGAGTGGAGAGGATTGTGTTCAACAGGGAGATCCCGACTGCGGCGATTGAGACAACAGAAGGCCAAAAAACGTGCAGAGATAGCGCAAATTTGATGACTCCTCTTCGCGCGGAAGCTCTCCTGCAAGGGCTGCAGGACTTTCGTGACCACATGTTCGCGGGTAGCACGCGGTGAGTGTCAGTAAAGTAGTAAGACTAAACTACTGAGGCAATATAATGACTTGTCGGCCTCGACTAGGGTGGTCGGTTCGAACGTGACATAATCCCCAAGTTTAGATCGAGCTCAATACTGCTGTACATCACACTTTTTTTGCTCACAGGTCTCCCTGTGCCGTGTGCGATAGGCTGACTTTGGTACGACGTCATCACGTGATTTCAGCAAGCGAGATTCCTAACAAACAACTGTTGAGGGCGGATGAAGCCCTTCGCAAGCATGAAAGGGTGATGGCAACTTTTCGCNGAATCCAGGCGTGTTAACAACATTCCTGGAACGGCAAAGAGGTCAATGCGAGGAACATCTGTGTTTTACGCAAAAAACTCGAGCTCCGTCGCGACGGAGTTACCTTTGGCGGCGACTGGTCTGCTGGATATGATCACGGTGGTGCTAGCGGGGAAAAAGAAACCGAAAACTTCGGATCTTGGTCGTCTATTGGGCGCTCGTAAATCAATGATCAGGGACATAATCGACTACATGCTCGACAAAGAAGAGAAACTTGTCGTCGGGTTTCCTCTGGCGAAATCTCTTCCTATCAGTGAAGAGAAACTCGATTCGTATAGCGAGAATGGCGCTATCCCAAGGTGCTGTTGGATTCATTTCTGACATCGAACGATCCATTGAATGTGCACGCAAGGGTGTCTTTTACCTACAACACTCGAAGTAGCGACGAAATCAGGACTGAAAAAGTCACGATTAGCGATGACAGCTCTTCAACAAGTTCCAGCAGCGATG